TCTGACTTTAGTCTTGGGCGTCTATTTGTAAAGCCAAGAAGCCTGCCCTGAAATATAATGATTTATTGTAAATTCACATTTTTTCTCCTAACTTTGTTATACCGTGTTTATTTTACCACATAAGGCTTCGATAATTGTGGAGTAAAAAAGGTGGCAAATTGCTATGTGAGAGATTATAAAGATGCAAATTATTGTTTAATAGAAACCAATTTTCGAAACTGACACTTTTCCCGTTCTAATCTTTCATACGAAAAAAAGGGTAAACAAATTTACTAATATACCTTACACATCAATTTTCTTAAAATCTTGTAAACAACATGTTTCCGAAAAAAATTAATCTTTTGAATATATCAGGAACATATATATACTGTTCCCAGAACACATTTAGCTTTTTCAAATTGACACGGGGATCCATTTGCAATCACATAATACATATATTAACAATTTCGTTCCAATCCTATCACAGATTAAGCATACTTCTAATATTTAAAAAAAGAAACAATATTATGCACATCATATATTTCAAGTATCAGAAGTGTGTAAAACAAGCTGACGTGAAAAAAAATGAATGATCGCGCGGCAAAGCAAAACCCGTTTTAAATGAAATGAATTTCTTTGGAGAACACAACCACCCCCACCCCCCAAAAAAATAAATGAATAAAAAAAACTATCGTTCACTACCTACATGTACGTATGCATATTTTTTGGGCATGGTCATTCAAAGGAAATCTGCAAACATTTTTACGTCACCTAGGACCACTGAATGCTCTGAAGACCTTGATTGACTTGCTAGTCATTTTGTGCGGTAAACGGACAGAAAGTCACAGGACATAAAGTCACAAATTTGATAGGACGAAAAGTCACAGGACAAAAAGTCACAAAGAATTTGTTGACAACTGTTTGAATATATAACAGAAAGATCTTGAAATATTTTCTTTTTATTACATATATTCATTTTTAAGTTTAGGAAATTGTTCATAAGCTTTGATAAATGAAAATGTATTAAATTTGAATCATGCAAAGGATATATTTCTTGGCACAATGAAGCCATTTAAGTACAAAGCCACTTTGACATTTTGTTTTCTTAACAATTATTTGATCATTACTGATATTTATTGAATAAATTTTAATTAAAAAGTTGCTTCATATATAATAGTTCAAGAAAAAACAAAAAAAGTATTTTTTAAATTAGTGTTTTCTTGTTCAAAGAAATATAATCTCAAAACTGAATTGTGACTTTTTGTCCTGTGACTTTTTGTCTGTGACTTTTTGTCCTGTGACTTTCTGTCCTACATTCATTTTGTGCAATTCATAGTTGCTCTCTATATTTGTTATAGTTTCTAGAGGTACGCAAAAATGGATAACAAACATTAGTTTTCCTAGATATGACAATATTTCTTATAAAAAATAATTTTTTAACTTTTCAACTAAAGTTTTATGACAATTTGACAATGTTTATTGCAATAGGTATACTATATGTGACTTTTTATCCGTGACCTCTTTTTCTGCATTTGTTACTTGCAAAGCAAAATTTGTCTTCATACATCAATGCTTTTATATTTTCCGCTGATCAGAAAAAAAACTATGGCATAAATAAATTTCATGTAAATTTCTAACAGTGCTTACAACAAACTATCAAAGTAGCTTCGAGGTTCCTAGAAATATTTTTCCCTTTGTACAATTTTTTTCAATTTTAAATTTTCATTCAACAATTTATTAATCCTTATAAAGATAGGGACATTAGACATAGAATCTTCAATAAAGTAACCTTGATAGTGAAGATAAGCAGATAAGTGCTGCATTACTTTATATCTTCATGTTTGCCAATCGACACAAGTGCCGTATTTGCGTCAATAAAAGTTCGGTTTTTTTTTCCAAAAAAAGAGTCCACAATTATGCAAAAACAGTATTTCTTATACAAAAATTTCCAAAGGTCATGTTTATAAATGATTTTTTTTAACTTATTTTCAGCAAAAACTAGTGGATAATAAATATCAGAATATCATTCATTAACAGGTGGAATTATAATTTCAAACACGCACAACATTATGTTTTTTCAGACTCAGTTGTACACAGGATGTATATTACAGCTGATAGTTTTATGGTACAATAAATGTTACCTGTGCACACCTGGTACTCAAAAAAGAGGCCATGCATGGACCTGTATTATCTAATTGTGTATTACGAATTTTTAGTCGACAGGATGTCACCGGAATACCTAACGAAATCTGTCGCTCTGACACGACCTCCATCAATAATTTATCCAGTCTGACATGCCTATAATCAATTCGAGAGGAAGCCGAAACATTTATTTAGAAGATGTCGTAAATAGAAAAAAAAACTATCAATTTTACAACGAACATACTAGGGTCACACGTTAATTTGTAAAAGCATCATTATAAGTGACCGATCTAAATTGATCCCGTGTCAATTTAATATTACGTAAAGCTTACATGTAGTTAAAAAAAAAGCAAGTTAATAAAACACACCATATATGAAAAAAAAAAATGAGCTGTCCGATATTCCGATATTTACATATCAATAACCTGGGAATATTATACTAAATCAACATATTAATGTATGTCCCAACTAAAACATTGCTCCGTGTCAATTTTAGAGTAAAAAAAAAAATATCGTTGAACTTGATTTATTCAACAATTATTATGTCTTCATGTCTTAATACAGAACTATTCTTTATATATACCAATGCACTTTATATAAAAGAGACTTACAAATGAATCTTTCGTAATTCAGTGACTGTTACAAGAACACTGAATTTGCTCTTATATAATTGAAATGTCGATAGCTGTTGAATATCATAATAAAAAATGTTATTTATCGTATAACTTAATAATTCAAAAAATTGTCTTGTCTAAATACGGAACTATTCTTTATATAAACCAATGCACTTTATAAAAAAGAGACATAGTAATGAATCTTTTGTGAGTCAGTGACCATTACAAAAACACTGAAAATGCCTTACTTATAATCGAACCTTTATTTCCTCATCAACTTTATTATTTTTCAATCAACGTGATCTCATCATTTAAGGATTTGACAATATTATAGCTATATATAACTGCTAGGTTATTTTGTTATTAAAATAGTATAATTACCATCAAATTTCCCTCGAAACAAGTTTTCTCAAAATGGTCTTCACACACCAATTTGTGCTTGTTAAAGATGAAACAATTTGATGTAAGGTTAAGGTTGCACAACCATGTCTGATATAATTCTGTCTTTTTTGTGGGATCTGGAAAACTATGTAGACTTTTGCCGTAACCTTGTCGGACAGAACAACCGTACGCTTGACAAGACATTTTGACACTGAATGACGACTATACGGTAATACCCGATTGATGATGGGGAGATTTTAACGAACGGTCGGTAAATCCCCGATTCGTTTGAAACTTTGTGGTTTTTAGATATCACGTGACTTTCCTATCGGGAATGCCGGTAAGATGGCGGCATGTCGAAAACTGATAGTTAATTTCAGAAATCGATTTTGAACTCTTTAAATGGAGAATAAAACTTTAATATTTATGATAATGTGATTTTTTATGCTTAAAGAACATCATATCAATTTTTCATTTTTTTGCGGAGTTTCCCTTTAATTGTCCGTAATTCACTGACAAGTTCTATGGAGCTCGAACTTGCACGGCTCAATAAAGCATTTGTAAGCATTAGGCTCCAACTCCCTCAGGCAGAATTGAACTAATGTTTACTTGCTGTCTGTCATTTTTGTTTTTAGTCTATTGTTTATTCATTAATCAGGCCGTTGGTTTTCTCGTTTGAATTGTTTCACATTTTGTCATGTTGGGGCCTTTTACAGCTTAAATCTTCGAAAAAATACAGTACCGAAAAAAACTGAGGTTAATTATACTTGCATAATGAGAGAGTGAATGAAAAAAATGTTGATACTTTGCGAAAGGCTTTTTCTCATGGTTGAAGGTCTGTGGTCACTTACATTCTTACATCTATGTTATTTGGTGGATGATGGATAGTTGTCTCATTAGAGATCATACCACATCTACTTATCTTTATACTAAGTTGGATTTCGCTATTTTATATAGGTACCTTTCGGTAAAGCGCTTCCAGAGTTATTTTAAAAAGGATATTCATTCTCCTTCTTGAAAACATTTTTCTAGAAGGATTGCGGATATTCGAGAAAAAAAACTGCCGGGGAAATCTAAGAACTTTACCGATCTTTTCTCAGGCATTGATGGACATCAAATTTCGTTATAATTATAATGCACAATATACTATAACTTGATTGTTTTTATGTAAATACCGTAGCTTTCAACTCAGGAGTACATTCAATCATAGTGTTTTATATTTACCATTGATTTAAAAAAAGGTTTAAAGGAGTTGTCTTTATGAAAATATATTATAATTAATAATGATCATCTCCGGTTCTAAATGTTGTTTGGTTCTACCTTTTGTTTTACTTGAGATGACTTATGATCATTTTTCACCTTAACAGCAGAAACATGAAAAAAAAACTTCTGTGAAAAATAACCCTTCTCTTTTGGTTTTAGATAAATAGTTCAACTCCCATTGTTCTCAAACGCACAATCCATTCACATTTTTTTCTCTCTCTCTTATCGTCTTTCTCCGCCTACCATACAATACAGCCTTTCGCATATACACAAATTTATTTTTCATCCACTATCTCATCATGCAAATATTTTTTATCTTAGTTTTTTCCGATACTGTATTTTTTAGTTTATAAAGCATGAAACTGTCGTCAGTGTTCACTGTTGAGTCGATTTTGTTAATATTATGCTTGTTGAATAGCATTTAGTTATCATTGTTTCACAGTATGTCATTTGGTGTACTTAATAGCTGACTATATGGTATGAGTTTTACTCATTGCTGAAGGCCGTATGGTGACCTAAAGTTACCTAAATCCGCATCATTTGGACTCTGTTGGATAGTTGTCTAATTGGCAATCATACCACATCTCCTTATTTTGTACTTATAAATAATTCTGATGTTACCTTCTTCCATACTGACTCAACTGGGAAAAGATCTGAAAATAAAAATGGAATACGATCTTGTTAGGTTTATGAGAGCGCATATTGTGCAAATAAAAACAAGTGCTGATAGTAAACATATACATAACCTAAAAGCTCAAAATTAATGATATTTGCGGATCAAATATGTAAATTAATATGTGACTGTTCCTTGTACGTACACAAAAATAATAATTACAAACAATAAAAAGTCACGTCATTTGTTGAACCGTCATTGCTTAGAACGATTTTAACCAACCACAACGCTTTTTGTACACGGCGAGTTACCACAATTATGCAAAATTAAATGAACTTTAGGTTCACGCCTTCAAACTAGTTTAACCCCGCCACATTCTGTATGTAGATATAAGAAGATGTGGTATGAGTGCCAATGAGACAACTCTCCATCCAAGTCAAAATTTATAAATGTAAACCATTATAGGTCAAAGTACGGTCTTCAACACGGAGCTTTGGCTCACACCGATCAGCAAGTTATAAAGGGCACCAAAAATTACTAGTGCAAAACCATTCAAACGGGAAACCAACGGTCTAATCTATATAAAAAACGAGAAACGAGAAACACTTATGAACCACATCAACAAACGACAACTACTGAACATCAGATTCTTGACTTAGGACAGGTGCAAACAATTGCAGCGGGTTTAAACGTTTTAATGGTACCAACCCTTCACCCTTATCTGAAACAATAGTGTAACATCACAACATAGAAAGACACACTATAAAATATCAACTGAAATGGCTTAACTCAATCAAAAGACATATTAACACCAGTGAACATACACTGAACAAATACATTTTATCTATGATACAATATAAATACAAAATAAATAAACTAAGGGAAGAATAATTAAAGTAACATGTTATACCGCTGTGAAATGTTAAACAATTTAAGAAAAACAATATGCTAAAACAAAAGTGTCAGCCATTTGCAATTACTTTAAACACAGATAAATGAAAATAATTTTGTTGTTAGGTATACGTGTACAGTTCAAATGGAAAATTATTATTTCTTTACATCTTACTATACAGTAAATTGTTTGTTAATTATTGAAGGCCATACCATGACCTATAGTTCTTTACATAACTGTCCTTTGCCCGGTCTTTGGTGGATAGCTGTCTCAGTGGCAAGCATACCCCCATCTCCTCATTTCAATAAAATATCTATTAGGTATCTTTACTAGTTTATACAAAAGAACGCAAACAAATAACAATGAATTTAATGACTGAAGTAGAAGAACGAACCAAATTATTTTACGTCATGCTCTGAGACAAACATTAATTCTATTCAAGAGAGAACTTTAACAATGTTGACACATTCTCTGCAATGACGCTATTGATCTTACAAGATTAAAAGAAAACGTTAAACAATAAAAACATACCACAATGAAAATACCGTTATCATATATATACCACCCGTCATCCCACTGAATACATTAGATACACCTTGTGATAGCGTTAGCCAGAATTGGTGTATCTAACTTACACCACGATATTATTGTCAATGCAGAATGAAAGTTTTCAATAATTTAGGAGGGGGTCTTTCAGCGATTTGACCATATGTTATTGAAAAGCATGATAAATGCAGTGTATCCAATTTCTCTTAACGACATCTTGGTGTAAATTTATTTTAAAAGATGCTGACCGAAGAAATCTTTTAAAGATTATTGAGGTACGAATTTTTTTGGCCCTTTTACTTTCACATGTTTCAGTCGCAAAAATTATTCCCTGTTCCAGACAATTTGTCTTTTGTCTGAAAAGGGGATTATACGAAGTAAAGTGGTTATATTTATGGCTGCCAGATAAGACTAAACAAGGTCTAATTCCAGGTTGAAATTGACAATGAAATCGTAACCTCATAATATCCTATATTTGTTATGATGTCATACATAAATATTTCGAAGAAAGATATACAAAGTAAATAATTACCATTTAACGTTTCTGGATTAACTTCCTGGTAAAAATCTATAAATAGATCGATTATACTGTGTCCCTATACGGACAAGAACAGTTTAAGTATCCGCTTATTCATATCTTAATTGAATAATCATTGGGGGTTCCGGGGGGCGAAGTACCCAGACGGAAACGGTACTTATAGACGCAAACTTTGCGAATTGGGTGTACATAAAACATAAAATTTAGGGGTCATTTAATTCATACATGAAAAAAGTTCTAAGAATTATGAATTCACAATTATTTCTGACTGATGAGATAACGCAGTACAATCGGAGATCTATAAAAAAAAAATTCGATCTGCATTGCTTAGCGTAGTCTTTTAGTTACGCAGTAAAGTCTGGTTTGCATATTTTTTTTTTCATCTATTCCTTTCTGATTCTGGGCAATTAATAAATATGTCAGTGAATAGTACATATTGAAGATCTTCTTTAAAATAAGCTGGCACGTAGACATTCAACTATCATAGGGACAAGGAACCGCCATCATTTGTCTTTAAGTGAGTTTTGATTCTAAAAATAAAATCATGTTCCCCTAGGTCCCCCTTTCCCTCCGCCGACACACACAAATTTGCTGCAGGGGTAAATTCAGTAAAAATCTCCCCATTGACTTCAATGCAAACCTATTTCTTGAAATTAAATTTATATCAATATTTATACACCTGTAGAAATCATAAGCTTTCATATATATATAATTCATAAAAGTACACATGTAGCCATATCTTTTGCAAAAATCAAAAGAGAGGGTCATGTGGCATTTCTGGGCCATTCACATGGCCTTGTTTAAACACTTTAGATTTGCACTTAATCACTACACTGACCCCCATTATCTATTACAGGCAGTATCTCGGGCGGTCCTTGATGACGTTTATTTTTTAGCTGAATTTACCCCTGAATAATGCAGAAGTTTGGTTCTGTTCGTACTATCTCACAAAATTCAAGAAATTATATATTTTTTTTTATTTCCTGTCTACAAAATCCCTACCTGCTTGGGATTTTGAATAATTATCGTCATTCAACTTTGTAAAGTACAAGTTTTTATTTTACTCAATCTGATTAAAAAGTAAAATAGAGACCCTGTGTCCACACTTCGCCTACAAGACTTGCAAGCAAAGTGTGGACAAAGAATCTGTATTTCAATCACATTGTGATTTATTGTGTATCAGTGCTTCTCCTTACCTAGTAGATTTATAACCGCTCTCCATAAGCTGTGCTAGTGGAGTGTCTCTTTAACTCAGTCGGTAGAGCGGTGGCTTATTGTGCCAAGGCTGGCACAGTAATTAATTTTGGAAGGCAAGCCATACTCTCCGGTTACAACTGTGTAATCTATCTGAGATAATTTGGGAATGTCAAGGGTAAGGAAGTGTATTTAGGTATTTGTTGATAGAAATGAAATAATCTGAACCAGACCTGGAAGACTTAAAATCCGATGTAGTGCTTGTACAGAATAACTATAAAGTCAGTCACTACTATTTCAACTGTTTCACTCACCGATACGTCCTTTTTGCTTTCTTGTATTCAGTGTTCATATGCCGCTTCTGAAGAATTTCTAAATGTCTTCTTCAAAGTTCTAGATTTTAGTTTCTATTTAAGTTTGAATATAATGTACAGAAAATTCTATCCAACCCTACTTTCACCAATGATGACAGACTAGTGTTCAATTGACATTTGACAATTCAATGAAAGAGTTTTCACGATTTCATGTGCATCTACAGGTTACGTTGTCATTATTTTCTTTTTAAATAATTTTTTTTTGTAAAAAAATAATGTGTAAGCACATGCCTGTAGTGCCTATAATTAACGGCAGCTACGCCCCTAGTCAAACAACAGTATCATGATTTATTTTGAAAAATGACGGAATAAACAATACACAATTCTTTATTAAACATTTCTTATAATGCGTGTTGGTACATTTTCACAACACTCTACGTCGTATAGACAAATGTGAAAGTGGTGCGCAAAAGCTTTTGAAAGTCGTCCACTCGAGTTTTTGAATGCTTTGCACACGACTTCAAAAGTTGTGTCCCGATTTGAAAGACGTGCGCACCTGTTTTCAAGTCATCCGCACGAGATTTAAAGTAGTACAACACGTTAAAAAGACGTGATCACGAGATTGAAGTTTTGTGCACTTCTTTTCAACCGGTGTAAACCAATTTAAATTTTCTCCTACAAACGAAAATATTCATTTTATATGACACCAAAGAAACCCCATAACACTCTGTGTACATATGATGATTACAACAGATTTAAAAAAAAAGTCTTTGCAAAGTCAAAAATGGTGTCAATGAGATATATGAAAAGAAACTTTCAACCGTTGACAAGAGTGGTTTTAACACCTATATATCATTTGTCTATTGTTTCTTTTTCTGTTGGCGTGTTGCTGTCTCTTTGACGTTCACCTCACATCTTATTCTGTTCATACATTTAAAGGGCATATGATACACTTACAAGGGGAGATAATGACGTTCGAGACGTCAAACTGTGACATATCGGGAAAAGATGCATTTTTCGAGTAATTTTGATCGTTTGCTTGAAAACGAGCACATGGACCCCTCTTTTTTAAAATGACATTTGACTTGACTTGATACTGTATGTATGTTATTTGTGCAAATTTTTATGAAAAAACATCACCGATGACTTTTTTTAAATTAGATAAATATACTGCAAAAAATGCCTTTTTTCTAAATTCATACAAATTTAATAAAAATGAATTATTTACAAAGAATTGTTAAACAAATTAAGAGCCTACTTTTGTATCGAAGATATTCTAAATCTTTTTAAAAAAAATCCGCATGTGTTTATCTTTTGAAACAAAAGAGTAAAGTATGTCTGTACAAAGGATAGAAATGTTCAAGAAACCGAAAAATTAAGTAAATGTCTAAAATTTCGATCCCATTTATCTCTAAATTTAGCCAATTAAGGTATCTTTTTTATTATATATTTGAATTATTCAGGTAAAAAATAGCTTGTATGCAAACTTTAGTAAAAAAATCACCGTGGGATCAAAACTGTATCGTATGCCCTTAACACTAGAAATCAAAGAAGGCCTCCAAACGCATGCGCTACAAACACAGAGCAGTAATACAAAATAAGCAAATTGCAGTAATATTGACTAAAACTTTTACACCATATTGTAAACTAATCTATAAAAAGGGTTGTATCACTCAATAAACCACATTTTGATGAGTGCTAACATCTCATATATCCCAGTGAAAATTGAAATTAAGGATAATATCGAAAGTGTAAGGTCTACTTTTTATCTTAATATTTTCTTCGATATTGACACAGATGAGTGACTTCAAACTAGAATCTTCGACAAACGTGATGATTTCAACTTTCTAAATGTCGAATTCCTATTTCTCAGCAGTAACATACCCTCTGCATCATCGCATGACGTTTTCATATTTCAGTTTTAATACGTTACGATCTTGTATGTTAACATTATAAACAAAAAACTGCCGCAAAAGAGTTACGAGGAAGAACGACTGAAATCTACACTTCATAAGTTAACGGTCACCATAACAAATAGGTTAACCCATACGGTGTGTCGGTGTCTCAACTCGTTAGCGACACGTTTTTGCGGTCTTTGATCTTTTCATACCAGTATAGTCGTCTGATCTGTATTTTTACCGATTGTTTCCTATTCCTAATTGTGACCTTTTTTCTGAGAGTGGATTCGCATGGCGGTAATACATGCATAGCAGACGACGCTTACCCTGTCGATGCACCGCCTCTCGCCTGGTGGAAAAGGAACAGCTTACTCATCCGAAGCATCTGAGTTCACCCTGGTTTTTACATTGGGCTCATGTTGTTCAATTTTTAGTTTCTGCTTAATTTTGTGACGTTTTGAAAAACTCGAAGTTATAAGCATAACTGCGTTATTTAGATGAATATAGAACTTTGTAATTTCGTGCGTCCGAAGCGCTTTCCTGGATTTACCTCCATCAGTAACGCTCACACCTTATCATTTGAAAGCCAGTGATGTATAAATACGTAGAAACGTCAGTAGCTTGAGACCAAAGGGGACTTTTTAAAGGTGTTTATACCCTTATAGCCTTTCTATGCCCCCCTTTTTTTTAAACCGAAGAAACAACTGTATTCACTCAATGGAATAATGATGAAAAAGTATAACAAAAATACCAAACTCCAAGGTAAGTTCAAAAAGGGAAAGTCCATAAATTCTGTAAAAATCAAACGTAAGACATTAACAACAAACGGAACAAACTGAAAACAGCTGTCATATTCCTGATTCGGTACTGGGATTTTCCGAAGATAATGCGGGTGAGATAAACCTGGTTTTACAGCTAGCTAAACATGAAACGAATGAAACAAGTATTTGTACTTTCCACTAAAAACCTTGTAAGAAGTAGAACATAAAATTTGTAGATAACACAAGTCAAAATATCAGTACAGAAGAATTGTTCATAAGTGAAGTGACATTGAAATTAAGATATCTAAAGATTTATGTAAGACTAGATACAAATATTATCACGATTTTGATTAAATATTTCGGGATTATAAGACTGTTAGCTTTGAAACTAAACATAAACTGAAGAACAAATGAAACCCCATTCTACCGTTATTTCAATCAATATTTATAAATTTCGAAAAAAATCATTGTACGGGTCTCAAATAAGTATTTTTTGAAAAAAAGTGGGAAAAATCTACAAAATTGAAACCTTTCAAAAACAATTGATTTTGTTATTGTATCTATCTGCAGATACTGCAAAAAAATATATTATCAGTTTAAAAAAGGCGTAAAAAAGGAAACGCATATATATATATATAAATGGAAGAATCTGTGTCATCTTTATCTTAAATACTTATAATTATTCAAAAAGTCAGGGACAGTAATTTTAGCTATCTGTTTTATAATGATATTTTTTCCCATGATTTCGTAGTTGTAAAACGAGATTTGGCAGAGCCATCTATGTTTTTTTTAACAGTCTAACACGAGGACAGTGTGGTTGCCAAACATTATACCACAGTTTGCACACTTCCCCTAGTAAAGTAACACGAGGACAGTGTGGTTGCCAAACATTATACCACAGTTTGCACACTTCCCCTAGTAAAGAAACACGAGGACAGTGTGGTTGCCAAACATTATACCACAGTTTGCACACTTCCCCTAGTAAACAACTTCTGGTTATACCTATACATTCTATAGACGTGAATATTTATAGAATGTTCCATTTACCTCTCCTTATCAAACAGTAAGATTGCCTTATAAACTTGGGACATACGTGCTGTCAGCCAGTTTGTCACACAACGTTTAATTTGATATGCAGTCATTACTTGCTATTGTTCTAGTCGTAGGTATGTATCATGTATGTTTGTTGTCTCTGCCTGGATATCACTGTTTATTACTTTTACTTTTCAGTTCATAATGGAATTAATCAATTGTCAAACGATTTTAATACCCAATTCTTATTTTATTGAATGCTTGAAAGTTCTAGTCAATGGCATCGTCAATTATAATTTAAACATAATTAGGATAAAACCTGTCACAGTCATCATTCCTTGTGAATGAATAAGGAGATGTGGTATGAGTGCCAATGAGACAAATATCCACCAAAGTCACAATGTGTAAAATGTAAACAATTATAGGTCAAAGTACATTTTTTATATTTATAAGAATGTAACATAAATGGACCCCAGTGGAAATAAGTTGTGCGGCTATCATGGGCAATTTTGATTAGGTATTTACGTACCGGTTCACATGTCTGCTATGGTTAATACTACTTTTGTAAAAAGTTTTATGCTGATATCTGATCAAATAAATATATCTATCTATAAAATAAAAAAAGTAAGTTGTAATATGAAAAAGTATTAATTTGTAATAATATAATTTATTTCATGGCAAAATATTTTCTATTATCATTACCGAGAATGTATTTGTTATGAAATGAGTAAACGATTCTGGGTAATATTTTATGATATTACTCAGAATGATATTGATTATGAAATGACCAAATGAATACATTTTTCATATTACAATACCATTTTGATTAATATTTTCAAAAGCATTCTCTCAAATCAAAAGCTATGACAAAACATGATTTTCTCTTTGATGGACGAACAAAAACAGTTGCCTTTTTATTGTCTATATTATTGTCATATTAATCAGAAAAGAACAACTAGCGCCCATCATTTAGTCTCGAAACTGTCGGTCATATTTTCCCTCCACTATGGTCACCTGATAGACTTGTAATTTCAGGGGCGGATCAAGCCATTTATAAAAGGGGGGTTTCTAACCCAGGATAAAGGGGAGGGGGTTCCAACTTTATGTCCCCATTTAAATGCATTGATCGTCAAAAAAAAGGGGGGAGTTCCAACCCCCGGACCCCCCCCCCCCCCCCCCCCCCTGGATCCGCCACTGAATTTAGTGTTTTTAGTATCAAGCTTTTCATTAGTTTTCCTATGCATTGTTTTAACATTGACGTGGATAGCAAGTGCAGTCATAGCTGTTGTATTTCATACGGAAATAAAATTTGATATGATAGTGCCTGGCGATTGTTGTCACACAATCACGGATTCTTATGAAACAAACACGTAATGTAATTATTTAAAGAGAAAGTATAATAGAAAAACAGATATTTATATATATACTAATGGTCCGGCGACACAGTTATCGTCCTTTGATTTTCGTTGTCTAACAAATAGAGTCCTTATTATAGAAAGTATATAACTTGCCATTTTTTTGCATACACCTTCCAAATTCATTTCATTATATTTTATGTATAATATAGTAAGAAGGGGGATGAAATTAAATGTTAAGAAAATTTAGGGCATGAATTTTTAGGTAAAGTAGACATTTGGTCCAGTTTTAAAAGGTAAAAAAATAATATGTCTGAAGATGTCAAACTGAATTATAGACCCCCTTAACATAAAATTGTCCATATTTTGAGTTAGAGTCGATAGACTTTTCTATAATTTTGATATAATTTGTCCCAGAAATAGGACACTACACTGTAAAATCATTTTTGGATAGAGTAGGTGCGATTTTTTTAATTTGCCTTTTTTTGTCTAAAATGATCTACGAAATAACTGTGTTCTCGGGCCTAAGATATCATTTATCATATTGATAAAATATATTATTATGTTATGCAAAACCCATGAATTAAGATTGTTACTTGCTTAACATCTAGTGGCAAATATTTTATGACTATTCAGGACAAGCGCAGATCAACAGAGAAATTCATATCAATTCTTACTTTGTGGTTTTATGTAAGAATTAACAAAGATGAATAAAATTTACTATGTTTTCATTCATAACAGATAATATCGAGCATACGCGCAGTGGACAAAACCCAAAGCAAATGAACAACTCTTCAATTGCTGTTCTTCATCTAAAATTCGCATAGAGATATTTAATATAAAAAAAACGTTCACACCTAACTGCCACTTCAAGCCCAGATTAACCGGTTTGGGCGGAACTAAATTAACCAACCAACTATGTCTCGCGTAGAATTTCCATTGCTACGTTTACAATTGCCGTGCTCGAAAAAACATTTTTCTTAAGAATAAATGACAGATTATAACCTGCCCACACTTGATTTGATTTTTGTATTACAGCGGCAGCCAGTGTAGACGCTGCTTGCCCTAGAGATTGGACTGAACTTGAAGGATCATGTTGGTTCGTTAGTCATGAAAAGTCAAAATGGACAGATGCCAATGTAAGTTTAGCTTAAAATATCTGGCGAGCTTAGAAAGTATGGTCGGTAGAACTAATCGAACATAGCTTTTTCATATTACAAGGATAATGTTTCAGAAGCAGTACTGTTAAAAGACCAAACCCAGTCAAGATAAAAATTTCAGAATAGAATAAAATAATAAATGTTAACAAATTTATTCGTTGAATTCAGTCTGCTTGTCACTTATTCCATGGAATAGAATAGAATAATGTCGTATTGATAATCACAGCGCCCAAAGCTGAGCTGAATTATTACATTAAATGTATATACCATGATTACAATGATAACAATGATTTAATAGGCAATTGAAAATTAATTTGTTCCTACAAAATATCAAATGTGTTAACTCAGTTGAATTCTTTTGTAATATTTGAACACTTTAACATTATTCAATAACGAAAATTAGAGAAAAATGTATTTTACTTAAAGATTTGCTCTTAATTTTACCGTTTAAGATATCATTTCCTTGAAATATAAAATGTTGTATTTTGATTATGTACAGCAAAAATCGTTTGTTGCATTTTACTATTTACATCAAAAACATAAAAATTACTCTGAGAGTTTCTACAATAATATTGTGGTTTAATAGAATAAATAGTTCAAGGAACTGAAATGGTTAAAATGGCGTATTCGGCATATTATTTGATTGTTCGTTGTTGTAATGCGAATATAGTACTAATGAATAGAATTTGAGGGGTTAGGGATAACATTTGAATATGGCTTGTGTTAAATATTGAGCGGGGTTTTTATTCAATTTTCAACAGAAACGCGTAGCATAATCGAATTTATTCACTGTTGTTATATATCCAGTGGCAAATATATCAGATAAATTGACAGTGCAAATGACGGCGTTAATCTTAAAAAGTTAAAATGAAATTAAAAAGAAGTTTTCCACTTAAGTTAAGAAATACAAAACGGAATCCAGAAATGGTTTTAATCATGCGGGTTTATTTTTCTAAAACTGTTTTGCTTCCTTTCTGATAATAGGGAAGAATGAAAAATACTTTCAGTTTGCTTGTATTACTATTTAAGAATGTTAAGGCTCTTCTAAAAAATGCATAACATTTTAGTTCGTTGAAATAAGCTAAGGGAAAGAACAAATTTTGGTTATGCATGTAAAACTTTTTTCTTGTTTAATTTTATCTCATCTAATAGAATGGTTTCGAATATAGAATCACATTTTGTTTCCGATATGACTTATAATCGACCACACCCTTATTAGTTAAATAACCTAGACTAGAGTGTTACATACCTGGAAATTTATTTTAGTTGTACCATTTCATTTTTCTCAGACAATTCTTTATTCAAGATCTTTTTATAGTAATTATAATTACTTCAATAGGTGAGGAGATGGTCAGCTTGATCTTAAATTTTGCCAGCGGATTATTGGGTACAACACGTGGGAAAAGAACAGAAAACCATTACAAAATGATATCAAATTCTTTAAAATGTTATAATCTGAAGATTCGTTCTTAATACTTAAGGTGTATTTTAAGTTAGCGAAAGTCCAAATAACTGTCCATTCTTGGGAAATAATGGGCGTCGGCCCTTCGGGCCTCCGCTCCATTATTTCACAGGAATGGACAGTTATTTGGACATTCTCCATAATTTAATTCAGTCTGCCTGTTAATCATTCCATGGAGAACTTGATGTTTTACCTGACAGACAAATCTTACTTTTATTCATTTATTTCAGTTTGCCTGTCAATCATTCCATTGAGAACTTGCTGTTTCACCTGATAGATAATCTTACTTTTATTCATTTATTTCAGTCTACCTGTCAATCATTCCATAGAGAACTTGTCGTTTTACCTGACAGACAAGTCTGACTTTTATTCGTTTATTTCAGTCTGCCTGTCAATCATTCCACAGAGAACATGCTGTTTTACCTGACAGACAAATCTTACTTTTATTCATTTATTTCAGTTTGCCTGTCAATCATTCCATTGAGAACTTGCTGTTTAACCTGACAAACAAATCTGACTTTTATTCCTTTGTTTCAGTCTGCCTGTCAATCATTCCATGGAGAACTTGCTGTTTTACCTGACAGGCAGATCTTAACATCGGTAACAGATGGTTTATTAAGGCGTAAGTGATCTATTTGAGACAAAATTTGAAACTTTTTAACTTAACCCTTTTGATACAAAAGATTTTGCTCAGATTAAACACACGTTCGTGAGACATAAGTTAAAACTTAATGTCCTGATATAAAAGTTCAGTGTAGGCAGTATCATATTGCTCAGTTTCGATTATTCAATTAAAAATGTTCATTGTATGAACTGATATAAAAGTTAGGTAAAGGCAGTGTTACAAATGATTCGGTTAATACAGGTTATTCAACTTAAAATGTTCATTGTATGACCTGATATAAAAGTTAGGTAAAGGCAGTGTTACAAATGATTCGGTTAGTACAGGTTATTCAACTTAAAATGTTCATTGTATGACCTGATATAAAAGTTAGGTAAAGGCAGTGTTACAAATGATTCGGTTAATACAGGTTATTCAACTTAAAATGTTCATTGTATGACCTGATATAAAAGTTAGGTAAAGGCAGTGTTACAAATGTTTCGGTTAATACAGGTTATTCAACTTAAAATGTTCATTGTATGACCTGATATAAAATGTTTATGAAAGCAGAATACAAATGGTTCGCTCTAGAAGTGAAAGGTACAGTGGGAATCTCGTTAATCCATTCATGTGCGTCTATAATTAGATGTTTATAGAGATTATTTACCTTTAGAATGTTCATTGTCTGACCTAATAGAAAATTTCAGTGTAGGCAGTGTTTACAACTGGTTCGATGTATACAGATTATTCAACTAAGGAATATTCATTGCATGACCTGATATAAAAGTTCAGTGTAGGCAGTGTATACAATTGGTTCGGTTTATCAGATTATTCAACTTTAGAATATTAATTGTAAATAAAATAAGGAGATATCCTGATATAAAAGTCCAGTATAGGCAGGTTACAATTGGTTCGGTTTATACAGGTAATTTGAATTAAGAGTATTAATTGCATGTCCTGATATAAAAGTTCAAATTGGAAATTTACGACTAGGAAATTTAACAAATGGTTTATACTGTTTTTTTTCTTATTTATCCAGATCATTTTGTTGGTTTTTTTTTCGCCATCTTGTTCGACAACTTATTTTTGATTACCCTTGTGATTTCTTAGCCTACCTTTAAACAGGCCCATTGATGTGATTATATACTCTTAATATGTTTTGTCATTCCGCAGATAATTTACAATTTGCAGCTTTTTCTTCTGCTTTATGCAATTCTCTCCAACGTTGGAGCACACACAACTACTTAAAACATTTTACTAGAAACAGTTAATCATTGTATTAATTTTGCTCAATCCACAGATACCCACGGAGACAAGTTTTGGCTTGATGGCTCAGATATCATCACAGAAGGAGACTGGGTGTGGAACGCCAATTTACAACCCATTGATTTACACATGCTAGGAATATCTATTAGCGACAATGACAAAGACAAAAATTGCCTGTATATCGACAGAGATCACCATAACAGCTGGAAGGCTGAATCTTGTGAATCGGATGCATATTATATTTGTCAGCACAGGTATATGTCTATAAAGATTATTAAGTCATTCGTCAAATGCATGCAAAAGCGGAAACTATCATAAAATAAAAAAAAAATGAAGAATTGTTGCCATAACAAAAAAAGGACAAATTTTCAATGTTATAGATAAAGGCAACAGAAGCATACCGGTGTTCAAAAGTCATAAATAGATTGAGAGAAAACAAACCCGGGTTACAAACTAAAACCGAGGGAAACACATCAACTATAAGAGGAAAACAAAGGAACAACAGGAACACTGAAGTGCAACAAAAACAAGCGCCAACATACATAGAAACGAACTATTTGATAACAACTGCCATATTCCTGATTTGGTACAGGACATTTAAAGAAAAAGTGGTGGGTTGAACCTGGTTTTATGGCTAGCCAAACCTCCCGCTTATATGACAATGTTAAAAAATATCGCTAAAATGACAACACTACGTGATAGAAATACAGCACAAACATACGCAAGAACACTCATCACAGAGAAACGCACAAACAAATAATATAATAGTCGACACAACATGCAAACTAGAATCCCAAGGGTTGTGTGGAAATTTATTGTTTGTACACCAACATGAAAGTAAATAAACTCATCATAGATACCAGGATTGAAATTTTGTATTTACACCAGACGCGCGTTTCGTCTACAAAAGGCTCATCAGTGACGCTCGAATAAAAAAAGAGTTAAAAAAGCAAACTAAAGTACGAAGTTGGAGAGCAGTGAGGACCAAAAATTCCTAAAAGTTTTGCCAAATAAAGCTAGGGTAATCTATTCCTGAGGTAGAAAGGCCTTAATATTTCAAAAATTCAAAGTTTTGTAAACAGTTTATTTAAAATTATGACCATATCAATGATAATTCATGTCAATACAGAAGTGCTGACTACTGGGCTGGTGATACCCTCGGGGAATAACTTACCCATCTGCTTATCCCTCTAGAGCACCTGAGATCACCCCGGGTTTTGGGTGGGGTTTACTGGTTGCTCAGGCATTAGTTTTCTATGATGTGTTTTGTAGACTGTTGTTTGTCTTTTGTCGGTTTTTTTAGCCATGGCGTTATCAGTTTGTGTTCGACTTATTAGCTTGATGTTCTCTTTTGTATCTTCCGTCTTTCTTTTAGAACGTTTTATTCCAACCACGTTTTTGTGTAAGCTTCGTATAAATGTTCTGTAGTTTAGCAAACTCTAAATGAAAATAGTGTTAAAATTTGTACTTCAATATAAAAAAAAGAAGAAAACTCTCCACGTGCGATACCAAATAACGTAGAAGCTAAAAACTACTTTAGGTCACCGTACAGTCTTCAAAAATTGACATAACACATACCGTATAGTCAGCTATAAAGGCCCTAAATGACAAATTTAAAAAAATTCAAACGAGAAAACTACAAAGCAATAAACGAAAAGTCTGGTCTAACTAAAACTCTTCTTTAAGGTATCCTTAAGATAAAAATGTGTACGACTTTAGTACAGACCATGTACAATTTAAAAATATAGGCAAATATGAGACAAATTAAAAAGTAATTTTAACTCTTAGCTTATAACGGTAAATCTGTTGTTAGCAAGAGATATAATTCATTGCAGAAGAAACTAACCTCTAGCACAAAACTCCTCAAAATTGACTTGAGCATAAAAATGTATAACACGAATACCGAATTCTAAGGCATATTCAAAAAGGGAAAGTCCATAAAAACTGACAAAATCAAATGCTATCAATCAACGGAACAAGTGAAAAACAACTGCCATACTCCTATACGAAAAAAAGAATATGATAATCAGAAACAAACGACACCACTGAATTACAGGCACCTGACTTGGGACAGGTATATACAGAATGTGGGGGAGGTGAGCTAAGCTTATTTGTGACGATTACTTGTAACTCATTAAATGCTTTATCGTTTTATATTTCTTATATTAATCTGTTGTAGACCAACTGGTTCATCAGTATTGGGATAGATCATCATGTCTGATAGAGGAATTACCACTAGTATTATATATTAAAGTATATTCAAGTGAAATTACTGATTGTTGGTCAATGTATAAAAACATATTTGTAATGAACGTCTGCTGACACAACAACTCAGATTTTTACCTGGCAAAGAGTTACGATTGCTTTAGCCGTATTTTTGGAATTTTTGGCTTGCAATGGTCGTCAACTTCGTCTGTTATTTGACCTTCTAACTTTTTTTTCGAGCGCCTCTGGTGAGTCTACATGTTATAATTTCTCGTGAAAGTTTCGAGGATTTCTATTAAAAATATCAGTTTCTGGTTGCACTATATAAAGACCAAATAAATCACTACTTGATAGATGTATTTAATAAAATCATCCTAAATTTAAAGTTCTGTAATAATCCATAACAATATACCCTACTTGAGCCGAAAATGAATTTGGTATAAGAAATATATTGTTAAGGTATACAGAGTATATAGTGCACACTGGCAAAGCCGAATCACAGCCAGTTAAATGAGCAGAAACTATTTCAACCTATACCCTATTTGATCCGAAAAATTAGAACCTATATGAACAAAAGGGACATAAAATGAACAGCCTAATCAATCTAAGGTCAACTTTGCCTGAGCGAGTTAGAACCTTAGTTTCTTAATACTTTCTTAAATATAATATAATATAATATAATATAATATAATATAATATAATATAATATAATATAATATAATATAATATAATATAATATAATATAATATAATATAATATAATATAATATAATATAATATAATATAATATAATATAATATATATAATATAATATAATATAATATAATATAATATAATATAATATAATATAATATAATATAATATAATATAATATAATATAATATAATATAATATAATATAATATAATATAATATAATATAATATAATATAATATAATATAATATAATATAATATAATATAATATAATATAATATAATATAATATAATATCTGCGATAATCGACCATTATGATTCTGTAAAAGAAAAAAATTATTGGTTTAAAAAGGAATATTATGTAAAAAAAAAATAGAATGTTCGTTCTTAATCATATTCGCATCATAGTAGTAATAGTTCACAATTAGAGGTTGTTTAAATTGAGTTGCTGTACTTTTGACGAAAATGTCGTCACGGTGCGGTATAATGCAAAATACCACAAAACTTTAAAGTATAATTAAAACTTTATTAAAGAGATGTCCAGCAGGAAATAGTGTATAGAAAAATGAAATTTATATGAATACATCAAATACTAGCTCAGTATGATTTTTAAAATTTTTAAATACTATTTTATTGTTCCGCCACAAAAGACAATTTATAGAAAAGCCGACTTAATTCTATCATAAAGATTGTCCCAATTCTGTTGTTGTTCTGTTGTACTAACACGAGCCACACGACAGGTGCCACATGTGGAGCAGGATCTGCTTACCCTTCCGGAGCACCTGAGATCACCCCCAGTTTTTGGTGGGGTTCGTGTTGCCCAGTCTTTAGTTTAACATGTTCTTGGATTTATTTGCACTTCTCATGAGTGCAAATTGGAACCACACTTTTTTTGACGGTAGAATCATCAAATTTGGCAATAATGTACCTCTGGGGATAGGTAAAAACAAAACAAAAGAATTTTTGGTGTGGCTCGCCTGGTTCGGCAACTGGAGTGAAAACAGTGACAAAATCCTGTAGGATATTATTTTCTCCCATAGGATTTTTGAAAATCCTACATGATTTTATGAAATCCTATAGGATAAAGTCATAATCCGGTAAGATATTTTTAATATCCTGTAGGATATTTAAATCCTATCGGATTTATTTATCCTATAGGAAAATTTATCTCCTATGGGATAAAATCAATATCCTACGGGATTTAAAATCCTGTTGGATTTTCAAAAAAAGTGTTAAATCCGATGGGATTTTTTTTATCCTATAGGATTATCATGAACGACTTTTTCTCAGAAACAAATGTCCCTTATGATTATTGTTTCACCAAAGGGATTTATTTTGTCCTGTGGGATATTTTCTCTCCCATAGGATAATTTTCTCCTACCGGATATTTTTTTCTCTCCCTTATGATAAATTTTGTCCTGTAGGATACTTTGTTCTCCCTTAGGATAAACTTTGTCCTATAGGATTATTATTTTCTCCCATAGGATAAAATTTGGATACGTTTTGTCATCTAAGATGGTTTTGTCAGTTTTGTTGGTATTTTACAAACGTTTACAATACTGTTATGATTGTTAATGCAAATAATTTGTGTGGTCCAGACTTAGGAGCATCACCAATCAACAGGAAAGATATTAAGACAATAAAAACTGTTTAGCTTGTATTGTTGGATTGCAGTCTCATATATATCACAGCGATTCCGAAATGATTTACTTTTATCAAATCGTTATTTTTTCATTCTAATTGGTGAATCGTACTAAACATTTTATGAGCCCCTTTATAGTTTGCTGTTCGGTGTGAGCCAAGGCTCCGTGTTGAAGACAGTACTTTGGCCTATAATGGTTTACTTTTACAAATTGTGACTTGGATGGAGAGTTGTCTCATTCGCACTCATACCACATCTTCTCATATCTATAAACAAAAAGAATGGCATTTCAATATCACATAAAGTTGTCGTTAATGCAATATATCAATGGCTATTTTCGGTAATTTCCGTTTCATGCATGGATTTTTTTTCATTGATATTTGCTGAACGTTTAGTGGTAAATATTTCATGCATGTTATTGACGTTCTTGAAATCTTATAAAGACCAGACCATACGAAAACAGTTAAGTTAATCTCCTCCAACAATTAAAAATTAAACAGATTGTAACACAACTTCTAATTAAACAGACCTAGATGCATAGGGTCCTTGAGAATATTCAGATAAATATTCATTTTGGTTTTGATTATGTTCTTTGCCTGCACTATGTGACATGCAAATGCAAAAAGTAATAAATGTTCTCTGTCTAGTCCGATTGATTAATATTGTTTTGTTTGTTTGTCTTAATTCAAAACTGTGCCTGTTAACTTCAATGAATAAAATCGTATTGAAAAGGTCTAAATGTAATATATTTAGAATCTAGTAATGTAGGTTTGAGTGGCTCGCTCAAAACTGGTATAGATGAGTACTTAAATTGAAATACAATGTATTACATGAAAATAAACACTTTTATTATTTTAGTCTTCCGTCATTTCCTTCACACGTCTAAACTGAGAAATCACCCCTTGAAAATCTTTTCTTGCATGTCTTAGTTCCATAATAAATTGACATTGACATAATCTTATATGATAGACCGTGAACAGTAGATCTAAGAACGAAAGCAAAAAAATCTAAAAAAGAAATAGATATTACTGTTCATCCATGAAGTGGTTTTCAAAGAGATAACTGAAAAAAAGGCCGTTAAAGTTTCCATAGTTATCGAAACATATACATGGAAATATTACTTTATAGCATTGTGCATTATGTTGCCTTCGTATACTGTTTACAAGGAATTATTTATGAAGTTGTTTGAGATGTTGTTTGTTTTACATCCTGTGGCAAATATTTCTTGTATGTTCATAACGAGAACACATTAATTATAAATACAATAGGTAGGCCCTTCATAGCAAAAATAAAAGGTCGACTGCGAGGATGGACATGAAACTTGGAATGCCGCTGAAAAATGAGGGTATATTGGATAAAAACAGAAATTTAGCCTTGCAACAGCTGGCCACACACTGATCTCTCAAATAATTGCTGCAAGAGTACCTAATGTGCAGAAAGCGTTTGTGCATGAAATCTACTCTGAAGTCTTAATGCGGACTGTTACTTTGTGAACTAGCACGTTAAAAATCTATCTCAGCTTATAGGTCTAGAACAGGGTTCATATTCATATAACATTTACATGTTCTCGTCCAGAACATGCATGCATTTAATTTGCCGCTGGACATAAAGCCATCATCCACGTTCATCATCTACTCTACCGTTAATATATTTAGCGAAGTATTTTTCTTGTACTGATTTTTATTTCATTTTTATTTCATGTACCTATTTTGATTTCCACTAACTGAGATTAAAAAATGGGATGGTTAAACTTTTCATCCACACAAAATATTTCTGTGCCTTTTGGGATATCTTCAATGATAGGTAATATTTAATTATCTCCTTACTTTATTTATACATGGGGCGGTTTTTAGCTTGATATTTTGTAAAGGGATCTCTCTATTATAAAATACTGCATGTTGACTCTAAATGTCTTGATACACCTTATTGCTATTTGTCCGCCATTACTGGACATCACACAAGTTCCCGTAAAATTTTGACGTCATAATAGAAAATGTCTGACGCCACAATGGAAAAGTGATTGTTGTATGACGTCAAAAGTTCGAGCGGGACAGATTCTTGGGTCAAGCGGGAATAGCAATAAGGTGTATTGTCTGTGTCATTGGGTTGTTGTCTCATCAATATTTACCATTATCCCCTTTTATTCGAACCCAAAGGTTGACTTGAGTATAGAAATATTGTCCTCTCTTGATTTTTCCCGCTCGACAGTAAACCTTGCTGAAAAGTTACGTCTGTTTTGGAATAAGATTGATCTTTGGCAAGGATAAAACTCACTAGAATAAAGTTGAACCATGATTAAAACCTTACGGTAAGCTATTACTACCCCAACTTACCCCTTTTCAACGGTAGATGAATGCCCCCCCCCCCCCTTTCCCATCCCCCAAAAAACGAAAATGAGTTAACAGGCTATAACGGCCTCTTTTAATGATATATGGTGTTTTTTTTTTAAATAAATGCCTATTGCAGCTACAATTTCTCGGTTTTGGACAGAATAAAAATAAGGAGATGTGGTTCAATTGACAATGAGACAACTATTACACTATTACTATCCACCAAAGGTCAGATGAAGCCGATGTAAGCGAAGTCTGGATTTGTACTCTAATACCGTCAGATTATCGATAGAACCGTAGATAATCAAACAAAGGCACTTTAAATGTTTGAAATTATGATATTTTACTTGCCTGCTTTTTCCCGATCCTATTTTGGACCGCCTGCTTCTAAGCGGTATGT